AAACACCCCTGGTGACTATTAAAGTGTAATTATGATACCTAGATGGAGAGTCGGTTTTGATTTGGAAGTACGAAATTTTGTTTTATGTAATAATAATAATAATAATAATAATAATTAGCGTTGCAATTGTACGATCAAGGAACTTCTAACATGCAATGATCCCATTAATTTTACAGTTTATGTTCAATTTTAAGCTAAATGGCATCCATGTAAAAATAATATATTTATCACACCTTTAATGACTATAAACAAGTGTCATCAATAGGAATCCTGCATGTAGCTCATTATCAATACCACCAACAATACTAATATTTGTTTTATGAGCATGCTTATGGCTTTTAAAAATGTCATTATAGAAAAAAAAAAATATCATTATAGCATATCAAAGTATATATTTATAACATGATAATTAATAAACTTGGCTATATTCTTTTAGTGGAGGGCATGTTAAATGTCCATAAATATTTTTTTTTAATTTTTAAAAAATACTTCAATACTCAACAAAGTAGTGATTTTATTATTACTGGGATTTGGTAATCTTGGTATTTTTTTAAAAAAATTAGGATATGAAAAAAGTGTTTAAACTTATATTATGTGTTACCTTGAAAATAAAGAAAAAAAACTATATGCATTCAAAAAATATATATTAAAATTTATATAAATTTTATCTTTAATTATCACCCTTTTTCAATTAATAATATGCATGGTTAAGACTAAGCTAAGCTTTCATGCTTAATTTTACCATGCTTCAATGACTTGCTAAGCACAAGTCTTGGCCTTTCGTGGGTTTGGATAAATTCACTATTTCAGATAATGACTTGGCGTGTTTGAAGATGACTGGAAGAAATATCATGTGCCTGCCTGCTCGCTCTCCAAATTTCCTCGCTTGCAAGGACGATTAGGTCAATTAACTCACCAGAACAATTCCCTGCTCTCCAAGCATCTGCCGAGTCCTAATATTTCCCGCTTCCTTCCTTATTTGCCCCGAGTCCTCCTACGAAATCCCTACTTTAATCCAAACGCAACCTTCCCATCTTTCCTAGAAAATTCTCCAATTTTCCCGAGAAAATCAAATCTCTCATGGCAGAACCAAACCTCAATTCCTTCTCTGATTTTCCTGAAGACGTCCAATTCTGCATCCTCTCGTTCCTAAGCCCAACAGAAATCGCCAATTTCTCCTGCACTTCAAAACGGTACGCCCCTCTCTGTCAAAGCGACAGCAAACTCTGGCACTCACTTTGCCACAGGAGGTGGGGCTCAAAGACCCAAATCAATAAATGGGGTAACGGTCAAATCTCCTATAAATTGCTTTACAAAACGCTTAACAAATGGGAAAATCTGATCGGTTTCTGGCGTCGTTGCGGTCAAAGTCAGCAGAAAGAAACGGTGAGGCCGCCCTCGTTAGTTTTCTTCGAGTGGGGCTCTTCGTTTCTCTCCGGTTGGAGAGTCTCTCCGTCTCAAAACGCCTATAGCGTCACAAAGTCTCCATTCTTGTGGATAAGTATTTCGCCCGAGGGTGAAATTGTGAATTATTTGGATCCAGAGGGGCAAAACAAGAATAAATTATTTGGTGAATTGGGGTATTTAGATATGGATGTAGTTCCCGTTAACGTGAATTTTATCGGGGACTCACATTTTAGCGTGGAGGAGAATGTGAATTTTGCTTACAAAAGGAGTTTGAGTTCCGGGAATTTGAAAGGAGAGGATAACGGAGAAGATATTGTTCGTGTTGAAAGTGGATCACCAGGGAGTTTACCGGAAACATTTGAGATTTATCAGTATTATGCAAACAGGATGAGTCCAGGCGCGGATAGAGCGATTAGGAGGCAGAGGAGGCGAGAAAAGGAGAAGCAGGGGAAGAAGAGGTGGGAGACTGAGCATTTTTTGAAGATTGTTGATTCATCACCCACGCCTGATCGGCCTTTGCAGGGTCTGTGGAAGGTGGGTGATTCTTCTGTTTCTACTATGTTTTTTTGAAGCTTGAGGATTAGTTCATGTTAGTTAGTTTTGTCCTGAGCAGCCTTTTATTGTTCATTTTAGACAGAATTTGAGCATAAGGCAGTGGACTATGATGTATTTCCATGTTGGTTAGTTTAACGTTCATTGTTTTGCTTCTCGTTCTTACATTGAGAGATTAGAATAAATTTTTGAGCAGTTACAGTGGCACTGTTCTCTCCTCCAACATTCATGTGGTGACTAGTAACTGTCCCACATGAATGCGAGGGAGGACTGTACGAGAGTATTGAATCATCTTTCAAGAAATTGGTCAGTTTGTTGATGTGCACTGTGAATGTGGGTCTAATGTAAGGAATAACAATGCCATGTTTCAACAATTCTGGAATCAAGTTCGAGGGCATTGCTCTTTGACTGGGAAACTTGATTCAATTTGGTGTCGGTGGTTAGCCTATTTTTAACTCTTTTAAGAATTGATGTGATTTTAGTGTGACCAATTGTCTCCTGTGTCGGCATCCTTTCAATTTGTTCACTGGCATATCGCTTGGAAGACAATGGAGACATAAAGGCTTTTCTCATATTCTCTCCCCTCACGTTCTTTCCTGCTTCTTGTTGCAGGGAATCTGTGAGGACAGGAAGTTGGAATTTTATCTTGTGGCATATGATGAATTTGGCATCTCCTGCCGAAGAGTTGGCGACTTGTCTGAGCATCGCTCTAGTTCTACACCAGTGTTTTGGACGTCAGATCCTACATTTATGGAGGCCCCTTTTCCAACCGAGGAAGAATATATATATGATTCTCGGATTCATATTCAGCCACCTGAAGCTGCAAACTTGGATTGGAAATTCCCTTTAGAAAATGATGTGGTCTCTCGCATTATGTATATTAACTCAAGTTATGATTTAGTAATCCTGGGAGTGGAAGGAGCTTCTGTGAATCCTTGGCGAGTTGAAGGAAGAGTTTGGCAGTACAGGAATGGGACGTTTGGATTTGGCTTTCTTCGGGACCATTTTATTGTGGACCTGAATCACATTGCCAAAAATGGTTGTCTTCTTGATATCCCCGTAGACTTGTAGTGATGGATATCCATGTACAGATCTTCTGCTCACGAGTAGATTTATAGCCATTTGCCATAATGCTCGTTGGACCTGTACTCTGTTGTGGAAAATTAATTTACTGTGATGACCACATTTATTCAGGGTTGATTTGTTTACTTTGGCTCCCTCCTTTCCTAAATGCCCAGTTACACATTAAATTGGTAGGGTTTTATTAGGATTTAGACCGCAGAATGATGCCGAAGTTTAATCCCTTTTCCGGTGAGATTGCTTCCCTTATGGCTTAATTCAATCCAAACATGTTCAAGAAGCTCTGTTTGAAGCCTGGCTTCTTTTCACGTATTTGGAACGTGAGCTATGTTTGAAGCCAAAGCGTTGTTTCCCAATCCTATCATTGGAATGGGAGGTATGCTGTGAGGATTGAGGGGCCAGTTGGGTGCATGGCCTTGCCATTTCGCTGGAGTTTCTCAATGTCGGAGCACATTACATTTTTTTACTGGTGCAACAGATGTTAACAATCACGAATTTTCATGGTATTGATAGTTCTGTAGAACGCTGACGTAGTGTACGAACAAAAAGGGAAGTTCTGCTCGAGAATAAAAGCGCAGGTAAAGAAGCTGACAACGCCGGAGAAGTGCTCCTAGCAGTCGGGTTACGTTGCACAGTCAAATCCGTCTTTAGTAGCATACTTAACAATTGTTGCTGTGTTGTTTTTTAAAATATTTTTAATTTAAAAAATATTTTAATATTTTTTTAATTTTTTAAAAATTATTTTAAAGATTAATATATCAAAATAATTTAAAAATATATAAATTAAAAACAATTTTTTTAATCTTTTTAAAAATGCTTTTAAAACACAGTGCTAATCATGTCCTAAATTTATCTTTGATGTTAGTTTGTCCTTACTTGTGTGACTGTGATCTCTAATTTAAAGTGATGAGACTTGCATAATTTCAGGTGTTCAGTTGAGTCCAGTCTATCTTATGAATCTTGCATTTAAAAGGGAAAAAACCAACAACAATCGAAAGACTATACAGGGTAAAACATTCCTTGGATATGGCAATTTACAATAATACTAGAGAGTTTAGAGACATCGGCGAGAGTCTCAAGAATGAGTTATTATTTTTTCAATAGCCCACCTACTCTAAAAACGATTTAGTTGGAGATAAGATCCATTAGTTGTAAAAGCACTGCATATCATGTGATGTTTGATGCACTCTTGATAGCTCTTGAAAATCTAAAGGAATGAGTGTCTTCCATGCCTGATCATACTCAACCGTATCAAGTTTTCAAGGTGAATAATCTCTGGTGGATGAAATAATATAAAAAAAAAAAGTTAGTAAAGTGAATTTGTAACTTTAGGAAAAGGATTGGTTTTGATAGCCAATCTCCAGAATTTTAGTCCCAAACCCATTGGTTGTTGGTAGATTGCTCGAGTTGTTCGCGGAGAGAGTGAGTCATCATGTGCTGGTCGAGGGAATGGATTAGGAATGACCCCTTTGAGGGTCACAATCAACTTAGAACTTGTACAGATAAAGAAAATCTAATTATTTAATTAAAACTAAATATTGCGATGTGATTTATATCTAGTGCTCTAAATATAAAAGTAAAAAAATTCAACCAAGCATTGTAAACAGGAGGAGTAATTATGACTTTTTTAAGATAGACAAATTCCTTATCATCTAATTAGTGACACACATGAATAGATTAATGAGATTCTTATTGTTTTTGTTTACTATTTTATAAAACCATAACCAAATAACCAAAAAACAAGTTTGGCAGAGTTAGTGAGATAAAATGACCTTGTTGAACTTGGCTCAGTTCGATTTTATAAAATGATTTCAGAAATGTAGGATAAGTAGGATAAGTGAGAGTAGATGTAGGATAAGTAGGATAAGCGAGAGTATGAAAGTGAAATACCATTTGTTTTAATTTCATTTTACTTACTTCATGATGATTCGGAAACGAAATGCAGTAGATCGCAATAAGCATTCCCAAATTACATGAGTTTAGCTCATCATATGATCATATGCTAGAATCAAATAGGCTTCTCATCTCACGCGAGCATCCAAAGTAGCAGAACAAAATCCGAATACAACAAACAAAAGCCCACACATTTCGGTAATAAATATCATGATTTCAATCTAACTCGTAAGCATAAAGCCATTTGAACTGCAGGAAGTGTAAATAAACCATGAGGTTGACAGCAACATCGCAAGGCAGGAAAATACACTCGTTCAGCATTTTATGATTCAGCAGAAACTTCTCTTCCATTAGTTTTGTCATTCATGGAATCCTTCTCAACATCACCCTCAAGTTGGCTCAGATTACCCTTTTCCTTGATAAGTTGGTTGTGGTGGTGTTTGCAGTAGAGGCGACCTTCATGTGCAATGTAGTTGGATGGGCTAATTGTACATCCTCCATGAATGCATTTGAAGCAGCTTTTGTGGTAAGGAGTTCCATTCACCGAAACCTTTTAACCGACAAATATTAATGGTCTCAAATCAATGATAGGTGTCAAGATCCTTTACAGCTCAGTATCTTTTTGAAATTTAGTATATGATGATTAAAAAAAACATTGAACGTGGAAACGAGTAGTGTCTGCTCTTAGTGTGTTGGATGTTTTTGAAATGTTGCAGTCTTTACCTTCTCAGTTGGATAGACAGTGTTCTTGCAGCCGAAACACTTGTCTCTGGTTCCAGCGAACATGGTCGAGACTTTAGTTGATATAGGTTTCTGTTCAAAACAAATCATGGTTATAGAACAAAAGAGGGGTTAAAGACTCAATCGAAAGACATAAGAAAGCATCTAAATGCCAGGAATATAGGGGAAATTTTTTTTTACCTCCCCATCAACAGGTTTCTCTGGTTTTACAATTTTTGGTGTCCCTGGAAAGGAAATTGAATGCAAGTAAATCAGTTGGAATTCGAAAAGAAAATGAATGGCTTTTGCAACACTGGCTTCATATTAGTTTTTCTTTATCTTTACCCTCAAAGCTTTTGTCAAGACTTCCAGTTCTTTTGAAGAGTTGATCAAAATGTGGCCTGCAGTAGAGTACACCTTCAAAGGAATTGTAGTTGCCAAGCTGCAAATAAGAGCTAAAACTTGATAAATTATCTTTTATTATCTCTAGCTGAGTGCATATTGCTGAAAAAGTTCAAGATTGCATTAAGAAGCTGATGCAGGACGTTATTACATTTCATGGGCTCCCAACCAATTTAAATTGGTTAGTTAGTATCATAAATTCGATCAATCAGGGTTGTTCTACGACTAGCTAGCTTCGTTTAACAGTAAATAGATCAGTGAGAATGTCATCAAAAGAAAGAGATGAAAAAAATCATGTCACTACGGAATATCAACACAATGTACTCTAAGGGAGCTCCTCCACCTGAAATGTTTGCTTCAGTGCCGGTATTATTGAAATTTGTATCTTATTGACTGATGTATTTAATGGCACTGTTAGTTTCTGGAGGGTTTCAGTTTCCAAAAGGAGATATCGTTCTGCTCATAATACTGAATTCGAAAATTAACTTGAGAATTCAATCATCCATGATACGTGACAAATCCAGGCACATGCTATTTGTGAAAGTTATATAGCTAAGACTAAGAGGACAAAATTTGAAAAAGGAAGCTATGCAATACTGGGAATACATGGAGCTCAATCAGTATTTACTAGAAAACGTCTAGGAATTCAACTTTAACATGTGCTAAAATATATGGATCTACCGAGTTTTTGATCTCTTGTTAAAACTCTTACATTTATAGAGAGCATACCTTGAGGGTTCCTCTGCAATGATGGCATCGGAAGCAAGCCTTGTGGTACACACGGTTATCAGCAGCTAACCTGTCCACAAGATAGACAGTCTTGTCACATGCCATACATTTCTGGGTTGTTCCTGCAAATGCCATGGCCTCAAAATTCTCAGCTTAGAAAATGCAACTGTAATCTCCTATGCTCCTATCGCCTCCCTTTGTTTGCTTTGTTTCTGTGGAGGACTAATGAGAGAAGTAATGAGGGGAAGATAAGGAAGAGAAATGATGGACAAATGTGTGCAGCAGGTTATTGCGGAGACCCAAGCAGAGTTGTACAATTGAAGTTAGTGGTAAATGGCAATCATTTTGTCCACCTTTGAAGCGCCTAACTAGGGTTGCAAATAAATATTTTATCTTCTATTTTTCCCCTGTAATCCCAACTTTTATAAATACCATACATATAAAAATAGGAAATTTTAGCTTTAGTTTGGTAAAGTGGTCGGATTTGCAGGAGAGACATTTACCTTGCTTTGGTGCAATGTCTTATCGAAAAGTTCCTTTACTGTTTGCTACAAACTGAAAACAATAGGAACTGGTATGGTTAGGCATGGCTGTAAGTGGGGTGTCATAAATTTGTTCGACGATATACCTGGCTGGCTACATAATGGAAAATGTTAAATGCAAATTCAACCAGGCACGTTGTACATGGATACCAAGTACCCCCCTGCTTCGATTACTTTTATTATTCGTTAGATGAATCAATAAATGTTATAGTTGGACATCTGCCCTGCTAATATTATCCTACAAAAATATCTCTGGTTTCGTACAAATATGGGCCACGGGATTAGGGCTAGTTCTATGGTTAAACTTTGAAAGAAAAAGGCGGGGAGCATGAGAGCTGTAGTCTTGGACTGATCCCGCAGGGAAGCTTAATTAGATTTCTGTCTAGGTTGATCAACTGTATATGCCACGTAAACTGAATTTCAAATTGATCACAGAATTCAGGACCTAATTTGCATGATTTTCCAGTGCTTTTGACATTTGACCAAACAGCGAAAAACAGAAGAGTGAGAATGGCTTTGCACTCTTGTTGAAACAAGATCCTCTAACTCGAAAAAGAATATGATGGGGAAATAGCATAGAAGGCAAAGGATGTCTTAATAAACGGTTCGATGTTCTCTTCAGATGTAAGCATTGAGGATGTTTGAGCTTACTGATAAGGTAAGATTAAAGAAAAGATCTTGTACAGTTTGTACAATTCTCTCCACCATAGTCGTGTATAGAGGTGGTTAAATCACAAATTTAGGTTGTTATGGGTTCATCCTTAGATTTCAACAATGTGCAAATACTGGAAAAGGCACTACAAACCCCACACGGGGACAACAAAAGAGTCTAAAATGATGGATGCACTCTCTTTATTGGGACTCTCTATGCTACTAAATGATGAGGAACATTGATCCACACATGCATTGATGACACCATTGCGTCTTCCCAAAATTCTGCTTCAAACTTGTAGTCCTACCAAGCCGAAACGAGAGAAGCCTGAACTGTACAGCCAGGCCGGTAAAGTGGGCTAAAGACCTAAACTGTGGCCCAGTTTTCTATTTGGAATAGACCTGTTTCTCCTTTTCTTTTTGAGAATTTTAGAATACTATTTGGAAGAGACCTGTCTCCTTTTCTTTTTGAGAATTTTAGAATAGACGCCTTGGGTGTGCCCTCATGATTCATGAATTATGATGGTCCAGCTAAGCTTGGTCCTCCCGAAATAATTCCCTTGTGAAATACTTGTCAAATATTTTTGTTTTCTTCTGCACAGATGGAAAGAAAAAAACAACAAAGCTAGCCTCTTAAGAGTAGCAAACACTAGTAGCATCCCCTTGAATAATCTGCAGCACTTGCATCAGTCTATAAAAAGCAAGGATTTGTGCCAGCAGATATGCCAAGGATTAGCATGTCATGTTTAAATCATATTTCCCCAAGCTAGAACCGTGTGCCCTAAATAATCAGGAGGATCACTTTGATCTAAAATTGAAGTTTAAACCTGGTCCAAGTTGGTTTGGGGACCACATGCAGCATGCCTTTTAAAAATTTTACTACCCGTAGTTGTAATTACTAATTTGTAAACAAGCTACCCCGGATTCATTGAATCATAGTCATCGGGAAAATACAGATACAGTGAAAAACACACAATTATCAACGATCATATATATGGTTCCGCGTAGCCCTATCCATTTTGCATCGTAGAAAACGTGTTTGTAAATATTGTTCGGTTAGAGATCGTAGCAGAGCGTTTGGTCTTTTCGAATGCTTCTCGTTTTTTGTGTGAGAGGCCCCGGGTCCGATTTTCGGAATGCTCCTACTTGTATTACGGAATGGTGGTGTCTGGCCCACCAGAACCGGGAAAAACCACCTACTGCAATGCAACATCCAATTCATAAGCCTAATCGCAAGGTGATTTACAAGTTCAACGAAAATGTTGCTAATAGTAATTTCTTCATGTTAATGGCTTCATACAGGAACGTTACAGTTGTCAATTTGGATCCTGCAAACGATGCATTGCCGTAAGCTTTCTTTCTTTCAAAACCCATTTGGCAATATTTGTTTGGTCATTGCGAAAGATAGTCATTTACAAGCATGTAGGTATGATCTAGCTATTAAAATTGAAGATCTTATCAAACTAATTGATGAAATGAACGAGCATTCCCTTGGTCCCATTGGAGGTCAGCCTGCCTGCTATTTCATACCACTCTCTATCGTTGCTCTCTGCTATTACCTAGCTGCTTAATGCAAAAAAATTATCTGGTGTTTCTTCAGGTCTTGTTTATTGCACGGATTATTTGGAGAAGAATATTGGCTGGTTGCTATCTAATTTGGAACCTCTATTGAAAGGTCGCACTGTGTTGTTCTGTTTTGAAGTTTTAAAACCCACTAGTTATACTGGAATTATAATTCTCAAACACTCTGACTATCTTGCAGATCACTACCTTCTTGTCGAGTTTCCTGATCAGGTGGAATTATCTTTTCTCCATTCAAATGTCAAGAATGTTATCATGAAACTCATTAAGAAGTTGAATCTTAGGGTATGCTTTGCTTCCTTAAGGCTTCTATATGATTTTAACCTGTTAATTACTATGTGATCTTGATATTATGATTGAATTTCTCAATTTATGCAGTTGACTGCCTTGCACTTAGTTGATGCCCATCTTTGCAGTGATCCTGGAAAATATGTCAGTGCATTGCTTTTGTCAGTATCCACAGTGCTTCATCTAGAACTCCCACGCATCAATGTCTTGTCTAAGATCGATCTAATTGAGAGCTATGGCAAAGCTAGGGTTGGTTCCTTTCCATCAATGTTTTGAGGATTATGTTACCATGACGAAATATTTTAAGTACTTATCATAAATGTCTTTCGATGTGTGCAGCTTTTAACCTTGATTTCTATACAGACGCGCAATATTGTCATATTTGCAGCACCATCTCGATCAGGATCCTCGTGCTGCTAAGCACTGGTCTTTATTCATAGAATCCAAACCTGAATTCTTCAAACCAATCTTTGTTCTATACTCCATGCGTGGTATGTTGAATGCTTGAGTTTTACCTTTATCAATTCTACCCTTTCGCTCTTTTACCCATGTACAACATTGTGGGAAATAGGATGTGATTCTGTTGATGACATTAATTTCAAATATAAGATAATACCCATCGCAAAGTTTGATTCAACAACTGGTCATATGGTAAAAGATGTAAAACGGTGCTTTGCAGAAACGATGGTTCTTTTGTGAGATCATGATCAGTCTATGTAGGGTTGTTTGAAGGTCCATAATTAAAGTGATGTACCATTGACTGGAGAATGATATTAGTTCTGGTAAACATATTGGTGTAAATACCCATTCAGTTGTTGAATATTTTTTATTCGAAAGCTGTTAAAACTTTTTTCTGCAGAAAGCTTGCAAAGGAGACATAGTAAAAGACTTCAGTGTTGTCGTTCTTACAACTTTAGACATTCAGGCTTGTGAATTTCTTCCCGCTTCTTTCTCAAAAGTTTGTATAAAATGTTTATGGATTTGTTTTTAGTTAGACATTCCTTTTACGGACAAAGATAGTGCAGGGATTCTTGTGAAGTTGATAGGCAAGGCCAATGGTTACTTCTTTGCTGGCATCGAAGACAGTGCTTGCATTCAGCAAGATTGCAGTTCGCTCTGTTGGTCGGGATTACTACCGTTATCCTTACTGTTGTTAATGTTTATTGTGTTTCGATGCAGTCAGGTGACTTTAAGGTATTATTCTTGTTTAATTGTTCTCTTCACTAAGCATGAGTGATCCTACCTTGTTTCTACTTACTGAAGCTCATGCACTTGTGAGCTCAAGTAGATGTCATGCATGTTCATTATGTATATAATTGTGCTTATCTATTTTAATAGTTCTTAGGAAATTTTCATATTTTGTCAGAAACTAAGATCCGGCTGTCTCAATAATAGATTAGTTTTCATTATGGCCTCAGTAATTGGTAAGTTATTGACATAGAATTAGCTTTTTCCTTGACCAAGCAGTCCACAGCAGCAGTGCAAGAGAAGTACATGCATGAAGGGTGATGAAAAATTTGATTATGCTGACTGGAAACCTTGTCTGTTGAGACAATTCTGTAGTTTACTGGTAGATGATACATAGAACACAGATCGAGGAAGTTCGCATCGTCCTCCCTCCACTTGTATTCATGTATGATGTATATAATGAAAGACTGGAAGCTGAGCTTTTCTCAGTGATTATGGATTGAGGCTCACCCCTGCACGAGGAATTTAGCCCACAACCTCCCCTTCCCTTTGAAGGAGTAATTTGCTACCAGGGGAGCCCCGTTGGTCGACCTATTCAATGTTGATATGAAAAATTGCTATATTTCCATAGATGAACAGCATCTTGGCATTGCGAAATGATCTGCATAAGGGGCAGTCGCCCTTAGCAACTGCCCTGACACTCGCTCTCCGATGAAACCACGTGAACTTAAAAGCATAATTAAGCAACCGGTAATCTTTCTTCTTCTTTTTCCTCTCGTTTTCTCATCCCTCTCAACCTCACTTGCAACTTTCCTGTTCTTTCGCAAGAAGAATCGCGGTGGATTTGTTTTACAAAGCTTGATGACAAAGGCGTAGGCAGACCTGATCACACTGTAGGGGCGGCTCAAATTGTTAGCATCAACTTTCAATAACCTCCGGCACACACTCCATCAAATTAATTAATGAATTCTCATGGTTCCAGAAATTAATATTTTCATTTATTTCATGATCTTTTAGAATTGAATATCTAATTCTTACAGTTTACATACAATTTAATATTTTCATTTATTTCATGATCTTTTCCATTTTATTTTTTAAAAATAAAAATAAAAAGAAAAGATGGCAATATAGAAAGACTCATAAGAAAATAGAACATTTATTCAAAACTAAATATGATAAATCAAGCTTGGTCAACGCTGGTCAAGTAACTGTTTAGTTATTTTTTTATATTATAGGGATTAGTCGATTTATTTTGATAGACTAGAGGGAGCTCACTTAAAATGTAGGCATCGTTGTAACCAAACAGATCAAGGCATTAAAAAAGAGCGGCAGAGAAAAGAAAACTCTATGTATCCGTGATGAACACGAGTAAAATCACCTACCACCAATCCTTTGACAAAACATATCTATGTTACTTGTTTGGAAACACATTTAAAACAGCATTTTTTAAAAATTTAAATTTTATTTTAATTAAAATTATTTTATATATATTTTTAAGATTATTTTAATATACGACGTGTTAAAAAATTAATATATTTTAATAAAAAAAATTTATAAAATAATTCCTCCTAGACATGTCTAAAACACCAACATAACTCTTATCTATCCAAGTTGGGTCGAGCATTAAATTGTTAAATATCAATTTATAATTATAAAAAAATATAAATAAATTTTAAAAAATATAATTTAATTGGTCAAATCTTAAATTTACTCTCTGGATATCACTAGTTCGAGTCCTACAAATCTTAAAATTATTAAAAACTTATATAATTGTTAATTTTAAACTCTATAAAATTAATCAAGATGCGTATAAACTACCTCAAATACTTATATTAAAAATTAAAAAAATATATAAATAACATGATACCTATTTTTTATTTTATACTTTTATATATTCAACTCATTTTATTGGTTTTTAGTGCTGAATTCTTATTACTTATTACTTGTAAAGTAATTTTCTTATAACTTCACGTATCTGATTTTTATATGTTTGTATAATATATAATATTTCTGTATGTTTATACGGACTATTTAAGCAAACCAATCTTGTTCCTGAAGTAGCTATCAAAATCAGTTGATGGTGCTCATGAAGAACTAGCAAGGAAAAATATACGAAGAGATTCTTTTTTTTTTTTTTTTTCAAACTTGCAGAAAAGTGTACATATAGAGAATACTAGATATTCTTATTATTATTAGTTAGCCATAAATTTATTTAAATTCTATAATACAAAGGTCAATCGAATCAAATTAGGAACAATATATTAACTAAATGATTATGCATGTGAACATTTTTCTACAAAGGTCAATGCAGTCTGCATTGCTGTTACCATCTAGAAGAGATCATTTCTATTTAGTTTGGTACAGATCAGGCAATACATCATATCTGGAAGAAGAAGTCTCTGCCTTGTAATACAAGCAAAGGAGGCAATGTGAAATCTGTATTTTTGGGAAATGAATCAAAACATCCCTGAATCTAGATTCCCAAGTACAAGGCTGTCATTGAAATTAAAAAAAAAAACACAAAAAAAAACATTATTCATGTGAATAATGTTTTGTGAGAAGGGGTACCCTCTCCCCCTTTTTTTTTTTTTTTTCTAAATGTTGATTGTTAATTTGTGACCTCTAAATCTTGTGGATTTGTTTTCCTAGAAACTTGTTACTTCACGACACCTGGACCCCGTCTAGAGAGAGAGAGTGACTGTCTGTGCAGGAATTTTCCTATGGCTTGAGATTTTTAAGGCATTAGGAGTATAGTTTTCAAACAGTACCTGATGAGTTGAAATTGAATTTAGTTGATTTAGTGCTAGAATTAAATTGGGTTAAAAAAAGAGTAAAATTCAGGGTGATTCAGCTGATTTGATAAAATCTAGTTAAAAATTTAGTTACAACTTATTAATTTTTTTTACTAAAATAATATTATTTTGATATAAAAATAAGATGTTTTTTATATAATATTTTATCTGGTTGGCTTCCCAGATTATTTCTAAGTTTTTTTTCATAATAAAACAGTGTTTATAATGAAATGACAATAAATCTTTAATGAAGATTTTTTCTGTTATGTGTATAATATTAATAACTTATTTTTTATAATTAATCATTGTTTATTTTTTCATGTAATTGACATCCTTTCAATTTATATTATTAAATTAACTAAATTTATTGAATCAAATTAAAAATCAAATTTTGAAGGCATTAAATTTATTGAATGAAATTAAACTGGCTCAAGATGTTTCTTGTTTTTTAAAAAACAAAAAAAAATTGAACATTTGTTTTATATATTAAAAAAAAAATTGAAGGCAGCGGAACACATGCCACCTTTCTAGAAGTTGACTGATTAACTTGCCTCCATCCAGCATTACGAGCCTAGCTAGCTGCATATTGTTCACGAGGATCATGTATGATCTTCGTTACTTCTACGGCATCCCAACGCAGCAAAGATTATATGAGAGTGATTAAAACAAATATTTTTTTTAACTAAAAAGTTTCAGTGCCTTTCCTTAGAACTTCTGCAACCTGATCATGTCCTTGAAGGCAACTTTTTATCAGATCGATTCTTTTTTTAATTTCTTTTCGTTTTAGTGGGAAACCTGAGATCAGACATAATTCTCTATCTTAATCAACATTAAGAGGGTGATTAAAATCACACTAAATGAGATTTCAACCAAATTACTTGGAGCATACCCCAGGAGGCCGGGCTTGAATAATCCCATAAAATAAATCTTGCTATAAGAATTAATCCATTTATACATTCTGTTTGGTACCAGAATAGTAGTTATTTTTTAAAATATTCTTTTTATTTAAAAATTTATTAAAATATATTTTTAATTTTTTTAAATTTATTTTTGATATTAATACAATATAAAAACATTTAATTTTTTTAAACATAAAAACAACAAGCCTCACTTCTTTACCATTATCTCCTGGTTGCTTTTGTTTATCAAGGGCTGCTTACATTCTCATGTACTTATCACTAACACGGACTTATAAGTTTGAAAATTTCAAAGATTATTTATTTATAAACCGTACACACAGATGAAGAAGCTAAGTCCACCTCGGTGATTATAATAATATTGACATTTATGATATCTACAGCAGCACAATAATTCTTACTTGACATGTTGTGCAAACCATATGCTTGTTTCTCAAGAAATTCATCTTAATTTGTTAGTTTTCAGACATGTCATAATGAGATGGGGGATCTGACCTTGAAATTCTCTAGCGAATTTCCAAATTAAGTTTTATAAAAATGATATTAGCATGTTTATTTTTCCTTTTTAAAAATATTATAAAAAAATTGAAATTTTTTTATTTTTTTTCAAATTAATATTTTTTTATTTTTAGATTATTTTTAAATGAAAAATACATTAAAAAACAATTCCTATTACCATTCAACACGGCTCATTAATTAGCAGCTACATGCAGATTGACTTTCATCTCAGATCTTCTGATCATTAAAATTTGTATAATTAAACCTGTTCGTGTAAGATAATCAGCTGGCCAGAACCCGTGAGGTGTTCGGATGGTTAAAACTACAGAAAAGTTGATTGAAACTTCTCTCTAGCCCACATGGAGCTTCAACATGTCGTGAAAGAAACACTTCAAGATGATGATGCTAGCAACAATGACTGTAACACAGCAGTTGTGAAGATTTTAAAGTTGTAAAATGTATAATAGTCAGACTGAGATAAGCAATTGTGGATAAAGCCTAAGCCAGCTCCACGACAGGGTTGATTTTTTTTTCACTGCGAATAATTCCATCTGTGTCAATTAATTTGATTTTTTTTTCTATGCTGATTTCGGAAGGAGTTCATTGTAAGCACCACCGTTACCGCCCAGTCAAACGACACGAAATGAAATTAACAAGGAAACTTCCATGGTTTTTGTTTTCGTCAAACCTTTTTATTTGACTAATGGCTGGCTATCAGCTTGGATCCGGTCCTCTCTTTAGAATCCCTTCATATATATATATATATAGACACTTCGTGTCCTGTAATCCACATAAAGTATAGTCAATCCAAGACTTACCTCTCAATCTAAAACTCACCGGAGCAAGACTCGTAATTTATGATCAGATGTTGAATTCATTCATCTGTGGCAATTTTCAGAATCAAGAGCTAGAGGATGAACCATGGAACAGCCCTTCTTCTACACCAAAGAGATCCAGCCCTTCTGCAACACCAAAAAGATCGAGCCCTTCTGCAACGCCGCCAAGAAAATCAAGAAAGAGCAGCAAGAATAACAAGAACCCATATTCGTCCCGTGGCCTTGACAAGTTCTCTGCACTTCTCGCGGAACTCGAAGAGAAAAGGCAGAAGATATACACTAAGATTGGGCCTGAAGATGTATCTGTGGTTCGTTTCGTCTATTCAAGTTCAAATGATTGTATTCCTGTTATAGTGAAGGTTAAAGATCAAAAGCAAGACAAACCCAGGGCTAGTAGAGTTGATGATGTCAAAGATAAGCCCATCAATCATAACAGTACTGAAGTTGTGGATAAGTTGCCAGCACAGGCACCCGCTGAGACGAAAC